TGGAGTTGATCTGTCTGTTGTTGACGACTGTCTACGAACTTGTCCATCATTCAGTCATTGTATGTTCGGTCATTCTAAACGATTTGCATCGTCTGACTGGCTCAAGCAACACCCGTTATCATTAATAGTTGAAGCAAATCACGCTCCAGTTTACGATCATGATGTGGTGAAAATATGCGTCGATTTAAAATTTCAATTGTTCGGAAATTTCCTCTATCTGTTGATCTTATGCGCTCAGATATTATTTGTTTTTCTCTACACAGGGGTAGCATTAGGGTCACCGACACCACCGCGTTCGTATTATGACACATCGAATTTCACTTGTATTGAATTATGTCAAAATCTAACATCAGATATCCATGATCCCTTACCCGGAAACTCAGTACTTCGTAAGATTTCATATTCAAAGGTATCTTCTCGATAAAATCCAATGTACATTTAGGTTGTCTACGGTATATGCTGTTATTTTGTTCATGTGTTGCTTTGTTAAAAGAGTTCTTTCAATTGCTGAATCAACGTGAAAAATATTTCCGCGACATCTTCATCAATTTTCTCGAAGTTTTTGCCTATGTATGTGGCATTCTATTTTCGATCGATCTCAATTACTGTACACAAGATACTGGCCTTCGATGTAAATGGCAATGGGAGAGTGGTGCACTAGGCATTACGAGCGTCTGGACGCTACTGCTATTTGTGGTAATGAATTCATTGAAGATTGGCAAATACGGTCTTTTATTTGTGAATGTCTTCTTGACTTTTCTGAAATTCTGTCTGATTTATGTGTTTATTTGGATTGGGTATATTATTGCATTTCACATGTTATTTATTCATAAGAAACCACAATTTACATATTTATCGTATGCAGCACCAAGAACATTAGCCATGCTGACAGGAGAATATGACTTCGATGATTTATTTTTTCCGAATGGAAAGATTTTACCTGGAAGCCATGCTGCCATGGTGCTGCTGTCGATATTTATATTCACTATGAACATTGTCATTATGAATATTATGGTAAGTCCGACGAACACCGATAATTCAAGAGAGATGCGACCTTTCTTTTTCTTTGGTAGGTCGGTTTAGCTGTTTCAGACGTAAAAAGTTTTCGTTTGAATGCCAAACGCGAACATCTACGAGCTCGAATCGAGACCTGTCTTGGTCTCCAATCGAAATTCGGTGTGTTATGTGAAGCATGCTCACGATTAGTACTAACGCTATCAAAATACTCGTGCATACCGCGTTTTCGCATGCATAATCTGAAAAAATATCATCTCTGGAAATTAGAACTGCGTGAATATCTCGTAGAAATTCCGCGCCCAATCGAGATGAACCACCGAACAGCATCGAATCGTAGTGGTAAAGCTCAAACGACGAAAGAACGTGTCCTATGCCAAGTGGGATACTATCGACATCATATCGATCGTGCCGGTGAACCATTGTTACAAGAGAATGAGCACGCTCGTTTAATGCACAAAGCAGATGAATTACGAGATGTTTTTGAACGTTCAAATGCACGTATTCATCATGAATTGAGAAAATTAACGACATCACTTCAGACAGATTTTGATGAAATCAAACGAAAACTGTTCGAAAGTTAACTTTTTTTTCTCACATATGTTCTGTCAAATTCTCAGAAATGTTTATTGTAATAAAACATTGAACGAAAACAGTAAGAAACTCGTTTCTCTTGTCCTAGGAATGAGAAAAGACAAATTAACAGCAGCATCTTCACAAAAAGAATGTATATTGCTAGAACTATGCATAACGAATGTTTGTATATGAATGGTTTACAATGCACTTTTAATGTAGTTATTTTGATGATAATATGGAGGATTGACAGGATAGCGGACAGGTGAAATCGACCGTATCGTCGATGGCTGATGTCGAGCGTAGACAACGTCATTTGGATCAACTGTTGAGAAATGATCATAACCTGTGTAATAGTGTAAGACACGTGGTTCCTCTCGTTGATCGAAAGAATGCTCGAAAGGATTCAAGCGAGTTGGACGATAAATTCCTCGTTGAATATAGTCGTTTGCTTGCTCACCTGTTCGATGCCAATGTGCTGGTTGGTAAGGATAGGTTGGCATTGCAGGTTGATAAAATTGCGCTGGTGGCGGAAGTGAAATGGCGGAAGGTGATGGAAAAAGATTCGTACCTCGATAAGGGCTCAACGAATGGTGATGGGGTACAGTCGGAGGGGCAACTGGAGTTGTGAGCATACGATGATTCGGATTGGTCACGTAATCAGTGTTTGGATTAGCGTTTGCTGTTGATGGTGGAAAATATTGTTGTGGATAGAGAACTTGTGGATAATCATATGGCTCTTTGTTTTTCTTTTTCTTCTTATTCTGTCGTACAACCACATATGTTGGAGGTGAATCGACTGTCGGTGGATAACGATCATACTCAGTAAAAGTATTAATCCCAGCTGTATCTGGATCATCTCTATAAGGAAATACTAAATGTCAACAGAATAAACAGTATTATGACATACTTCAATGGTTTCTTAACAAGAATATCATAGATTGTTATAATAATCGCACTAATGAGAGCAAGTATGACTGCAACAAGATTGACATAGAAACACCAGTCAAGACTATGCGGTGCCGGCGATGCATTATAGACAGAAAATCCAAATACAAATAATCCGGCAATACCAACCATTGCTAACATTCAGAATAGAGTCGAAATTAAAGACATGTTCAATCGTATACGATGAATCGGCGTTTACCTGCTGGCCAAATGGCGAATCCTGCTAGGATAGCTAAGTAATAATGAATATTTCTTCGTAGTCGATAGCATACAATTGAAGCTACCGCAATGATCAATGTTGATGTAGTTAGAAACAAAAAGACAATTTCCAATGCTTGCCATGCATTGATTCCAACTATGAAGAGAGAATTTCAATATACCTTCGACTTGTTTCAAAACTTTCTACCTCTGTCTTGATTATGACGAGTTTCAATATAGGAACTGAACGGCCCATCGGATGAAAACCAGCTGTCACACGTTTGATTGGCGAAGAAACACAAACGCCACAAACCATAGTGATTTGTTGTTTTATTATAATAATCCGAAAACCAGGAATGCTCCACAGCGAAAACAATAATCAAGGCTGCAACACTCAGGATGAGTGTAATAATTGCCAAAACAAGTAACCAAAAATGCTTCAGTCGCTTAAAAGGAATCCAAATAAAAACATTGAATTTCATATTGATAAAATAACTTCACGTCGAAATTCTGAAGCTCCTTTCCCTTTGGTTAATTTCAATAGTACGAAAGCGACTCAAGATGAAACTGTTTCTATATTCTTACAAAAAAAAAAACTCTCATTTTAGTAGATGTTATGTATACTAATCAAATAGCCAGGAAAAAAAAAGAAATAATCTGTTACCCGATCCGGTTGATAGGTTGAATATTGTGTCGTCGACGGCCATTTCGTTGGAGATGATGGTTGATTGTTACGATGCATCATTCAACAACCAAATTCAATCGTTCGCTTTACTGACAAATACTCCAGATTCGTAATGTTGTTGCATTTCGAACTAAAACCACCAAAGTTGTATAGAATAAGATATAACTATCGATTCTTTTCTAAGAAAATATTTACCGATTAAGTGTACAATCTGTTATTTTAACAACCGATGATAAATCTAAGTCAGATGACAAATTTTTCAAAAACGAACGTCAACTGTTGATTTTATCATGGATTAAGACGAACTGCTTAAGTTACTGAGTAAAATATTCGATCGTAATCAGTTCTCTTTCGATACAATGATTTAAGCGTTTGAGATAAAACAAACCTCATAAATCACCTTCGAAGGATTTGTGTTAACGAATGTCTTGTGCTTTACCTAGCTGATCGATGTTCTATCTAGTAGATTGCAAATGATACTGATGATTGTTGACACATGTATACGATTACTTATTCAAATCGCTTTTAAATTAAATGAATAAATCGACAAACATCACGAATAGATGAACGGTACTACTGCTTATCGGTTGAAAAAAAGAAAGAGGGATAGAGAGAGAGGGACAGAGAACGAGCGAGCTTAAAGACAGCTGGCAGCTTGTTTTTGTCTCAATCGATTATTGTCATCAGTCGATCTTTTCTTTGAAATTTGTCTATAGGCACTTACCTTGGTTCAATGAAAAAATAGGTTTCTTTTTCTATCGTCTTATTGAACGTTTGACGGTCGTGTCGATTGCGAAGACGAAAAGCAAATGAACTGTTGATTCGTTTATTCAGTAGTGTCAAAGCGTCTATAGTATTTTGATGATGCAATTGAATATTCGAGACCGATAATATGTCAAACAAAGACGCAGATCAAATGGCATATTTTGTATGCTGCTATTGCAATAATATACTTTGATGGATATGTGTCAACACTTCAGAAATTGTACCTGGCATCTTTAAACAGAAAGAAGAGAAACACTCCTGCTCAAGAATCGAATTTCAAGTGCTATGAAAGGATGAAAACTATGACTTGAAAAGAAAAGCAACAACAACAATAATAATATTTCGCAGCAATGAACGAGGCCAATATACTTTGTAGTCGTGAAGTTTAGGTGTTTGACTTCGAAGGACATTCAATAACAATTGTGACGAAGTCAAGGCAAAATCTATAGAAATATCTGAGAATCAATACGATCCAACGATAGAGGAGCCGCAATATTTATTTGTAAGTATAAATCTACGCCTGAAGGACATGCTAGCGTAATTTGATATAATGAACTTCGTTTTTTTTCAGGTGACAATGTGCGCCCCCTTTCGTTCGACCATATTTTGTTAGTCAGAATACATGAACCAATGGAGTTTTTGCTCTTCTCTATCTTTCTTTCTTTCAAACTACGATAAACGTTCTGTTGGATCGGGATAATCGATCGATCAACATCTGGATAGGAATGAACTAATTAATATTACGATTTTTATCTTAACGCTTATGAAATAATCGTTGTTTAGTATTCAAAACCCCTAGTCAATTAATCTAGTCATTATGGGTACTCTTGTTGGTCATGTTGTGCCCGGTACATTTTTTATACTTTTTCCAATATGGTGGGGCTATTGTCTTGCGATTAAACATTACCATATCAGATATCGAAGACGAGACCAGCATCAAAACCCTCGTCTTTATCAATCGTCGACAACCTTCTCATGCATATGCTGTTCCTGGGGGAAAAGTCGACCCATCGAATCTCAAATCAAAATTTTCTGCTCCGTGGTTGGAATGCTAGGCGAATTTATTACCGGTTTTGGATACATCGATGACACAACATCGAAGAAAAAGATTTTAATTTTCGGTGAAAATAATGTTCAACATATCACAATGTTTTTCGGATTCGCTTTAGCTTCATTGTTGGAAGTACTTGTACATCGAAAGTATCCCCTCCCAGATGGCATCGAATTTCTCGGCAATATCTTTGCATACGGTCTCGAAGCATTTCTATTTCATTTTCATCTACATGGACGTGATGAAGTCGATATACATGTTCATACACTATTACTTTTTTCCATTTTACTCTGCACTGCCGCTGCAATTTGGGAATACAATCGGCCGAATCAGATCTTAGCAACTTATGGGAGAATTGCAGGAACATTCCTGCAAGGTGCTTGGTAAGAGAAAATGTTAAATGTATAATAAATCTTTTCATTCACTTTTAGGTTCTATGCAATTGGTTTTATACTTTACTTTCCATCTAATAATCCATATTGGATTTGGTTACCGACTCATGGACATCTTTTACTTATAACTACATTATTCGTTTGCACTGGATTAGCAATATGTATTTTTTTATTTCTCCAATCAATGGTTATTTGGTCTGTACTTAAACAAAGATATGCAAATGAATGAGTACTTCATCTGATCAATGACATCCTCACCTGGTTCCGCAACACATCTATGAGAATGTTCGGATAGGAAAAAAATGACAATATTTTATTTCAACGCAATAATTATACATTATTATCTCAATCAAGAATGGCACAACCTTGAACGTTGCTTAATACCCATTCAATACATCTCATATCACGAATCGTCACTGACTTTCTGCATTTATTTATGTATTCTTGTCTGGTGCTTAGAATCTTCTCCCTTGATGATACATTACTGTTTAATGTCTGAATATTCTTGAACAGTTTCTTTTCTTCCATTATTTTAATTAGTTAAAATAGATAAATTAATAAATCTTCCTCTTTTGTTTCTCTTGTCACGCATTCCATCAATCAGACGAGAGTATACGTAACTTATTCATGTCTGTTGATGACTGTTTTCCTCTTTCTCTTTCTGTCTATGCACGTGATTCGACGTACTGGCGACTATTACGTATAAATGTGTAGTACATATAAATATAGATTGTTGTTCTCTACCGTCGGATGGACACTCTCTTTCTCTTCGTGTTTTTCTTTCTTGTTGTGTTGTGATCATTCTTGATTCAATAAAGATATTGAATCTACATTATCATCGCATGACCAACACTAACAACGTCTAAAGATGTTATTGGAAAATCACAGCAATGACATTTCACTTGAACGAAAATCTACTTTTTTGGATTGAAAAATGAACGCTTTGAAGCTCACTTCCATTTTAGATTAGCTTCTAGTTTTCAGTGGTTGTGTACCGAATTCTTTAGTATTTTTCTTGACTAGCATCTTGGAATTTTAAATTGTTCAGAATGTTTTTCTAGATAGATGTGTTTCGCTACTTTACATTATTCTTTTCCACAATGTCACAGCGCATCAAGTCTCCCATACTCATTGTGATATTTCAATTTCATCTATCAGATAGGTTCCGGGAGAATGTTCTATTGAAATGTATTTATAGATGTTCCTGAAGAAATTTCAATTAGAGAAAACGACTAAAACAATTCCGCTGCTGTTGAAGCGTACTTATAATATCAAAAAGTTAGACCTGCAAGCGATAAAAAATCCACAAGTACAAGCTGTTCGTGAAAAAGAACTGCAGAGGAGACAACAACAAGGAATATTAAATCGTTTAGTTGAAAAACGGTATCCGCTCTTTTCTACATAATGTTCGAACTGATTGCACAGTTTCATCCTTTTAGAACAGGCGATTATAATGAATATTTCTCAAAATCGGTGAGTGTTCTGATTCTCTAATTAGAATCTTATTCCAATTTGTAGAATAGTCGGATTCATCGGTGCTCAAACAACGACAACATAGATCGTACGATCATATTGGACAAAAACGCGCAGTATACTTGAGTAAAGTTCTACGTGCGTTTGTTGCCGAGCGTATTGGTTCGGGTGAAATCGGTGATGTCTTATCTGGAAAAAACTTTCAATTAACTAATGTCTGTTGAAAGGAAAATCTCTGTTTGATTTGATGATCGTTTCTATTCTTAGATCGTTGTTCCTGTGGATTTGAATCGTATTGAAATTTTATGGTGGTCGCCAGAACAAGAAGTCAATCTGATCGAAGACCTACTGAAAACCGCTGGTGAAGAATTAAAGTAAAATATAGAAGTGAATGACCTACTGTAAATCAACTCGAAATTTCAGAACAGCTATTCGACATGCTCAGTTACTACCAAATCTACCACCGGTGATTTTCAAACGAGACAATACACCGACGCAACGTGAACAGATCAACAATTTGCTCGATGTCGCAGACACTGGATCATCTGAAGCGGTAACTCCGACAACAGGAGAGCGTCAAGACTTATATGATAGTGATCGCACTATGATTCTTCGAAAGCTATCAGTCGACGAGAGCAAGCCAAGCGGTAACGAAGATCTATTGAATGTTGATCAATTGCAAAGACGTATGAAAGCGTTTGCATTGACGAAACGCATGAAGCGTGTCCGCGAACAACGAAGTGCTATCTATGGAATCATGGCGATTGAGAAAGAACGACAAAATCGCGAACATTTTGCATTGAATGTTACTGAAGATGATGAATTCGAACAGGCAGAAAACGAAAATAAAAAATAATCGTTGGATTGCCGACTCGTTTGTATATAAGACAACTTCAAAGCGAGATGTGCATTTCATTAGTCCATGCCTTGACAGCAAACATTCATGTTGACACAGAAACCATTGTCTAATAGTCATTAGTTTGACAAGTGCATAAACAATTTCCTCTGATTTACATACAATTACATCACTGTGCTGATTTACATTCGTATTAATCAAATCTTCAGCAATTGATTCTTCTCCTTAATCAACAGTCAAACAGAGGAAAAAAATGTCCTCTTACTTATGAATGTGTGTTCGAGTCACACAATAGTCATAATTGAAATGAAAGAAAAATTTGTGCTCGTGATGAGAGCTGCTCTGATAGAGAGTTCCGTTTTTTTTTCATATTGACGCACGTCATCGGATATTTGTCGATTGATCAGAAGATCAATCGGTTCCAAACCAAATACATTCTCATAATTGAATCTTCGACAGCAAAGGTAAGTTTTGTTTTTCTCCCGTTCGAAAGCGAGTGTGGGCGTCAACAAATAGCAGACATTACTGTTACTGGACATTGATAACGACCGATCATGTGCTGTACAATAAATAGTCGTACGATTAAATGTAATATATGAACATGAAATCTAAGGAAGTTTTCTATTTGAAGTTCTCGTCTTCCTGTGTCATCCTACACTTCTAATCTGATTAAAAGTATATTTTTCCATGCGGTAAATACGTTGACTGTTTGTGTGCTACAGGATTATTGAATCAATATTGAGATAAAAAGGAACACATTCGATTAATGTAATTGACTTAGCAGATGTTCCTGAAAATAAAAGGTCATATTGGAAAAAAGAAAATTTATTACATCGGAGAAGTTCTGAGGACAGAATGCATTTTATCATTGTTCGACTGACTGTATGAAGTTTTCAGTGCTACACTAATCCCGAGTTTCTTTTTTTTCATTGAAAATCAATATTCTGAACTCAACACCCAAACATCCGTATACCTGCATATAGATTTTGTCGGTAATTACTTTTTAATTGTCAGTTATTATAAAATAATCAAGCGCAAGATTATGTTAACACGTTGATTTCGGTAAATAGTCAAAAAACGGGAGAAATCAATTTCGAACATGGCAAAAATGCATCAATATTGACAGAAAAAATAGATCCGAGAGAGGAACTAAGCATCTACTGCCTTTCTGCGGATTTGTCTCATCTCATCAATTTACTAGAAGCGTTCGAAAGTATTTTAGATCAGAAATCGTGTCACTATTTAAGTTCGAGTAAGGAAAAATTCAGCAATAATTAAAGAGAAATGCAAAGCTCGTAAACAAATACGTCGAAAGACAGTAGAGAAAAGAAAAAAGTAACGGAAGAGGCAAATTCCATTTACTTCTCTTGCATTCGTCGAGATTTGTCTTTAACTTTTGGACTTATTATTATCATCAGAAGAGAAGAATGAGCCTAAACATAAAATAACATGAGAAGTTATCACAAACGAGATGCGAGTTACTGAGTGTTCTACTTCCAGTTCATTATCTCTTTCCAGTACATTGATTACTCTACGAGAAAAACAAAGGTGAAATATACACCGAAAACAAGATTGAATAGCTAGCTAATTAAGTTAAAACATATTGTTTTCCTTCCGTAATTGAATAAAGAGTAGATAAGATGTTTCTAGCGTGCAAAACGTAAGTCTTCTCATGAGAACACGTGCAAATTAAAGAACTTGCTTACTCACTACACTTCGAATAGATTACAGCCGTGTTGGGAGTACGTGGATGTTAAATAGCGCTAAATATCTTTATGGAAAGCAATTGTTCTCTTGGTTCCTTTGAGAGTTGTCGAAGAACAATGGCATGTATTCATGTCTATTTTTGTTTTTTCGTAAAATAAAGACAGTTTAGTTAATTTCTCGACAATGTACATGCATCAGTGTCGCATTGTCAGTCACGTTCAGGGAACCGTGGTTGTTGTTCGCATTCGACTTCCTTAAGATCTCAGATTATTGGAAAATGGACGAGTGCCTTTTGGACACGCATACCATTTGTTATTATTTTATGTGAAACATGTATTCAGTGCGGTTAGAATTTCTCTGACGATGCATTTCAATGTCAAACGGGATATGATGAGAGACAATTACCTCGGTAACTGATGCAGAGCAGAACATGTTGTTTCAAAGAGATTCTCCGAAAAAAAATCATTTTAAGTATATTCAAAGCATAGACTCGTTTATCTACCCACGATTAGCTAGGCCACCAAGAGTAGTTTTCTTTAAAAGAACAGATAAGCTGACTTTGACTTATCTTCGATGAATAGATTGAAGCAAACTTTTTGAACTTCTCTATACCTATTTAAGAGTTATCGTTCCATTGTACTGACTATTCAAAACATAATTGAATGCTAGAAGCTAATAAGTATCAAAGAGACGTTTTTCTATTCTTTTTATTTCTACCTATTATAGATTTTAATGAAGGAGGAAAGCTTTTAAGATATGTGAGGAAAATTTGCATAACTCGTTTTTTTCTTTCTCCCGTTCAAGTCACATTAAATTATTTTAGATCAATTATTTCTTGAAGTAGCGACTAGTGCGACAGCTCACTCTGTTGACGATACCAACCGAATCTTCATGAGATGATTGAATAGAAAATTCATCCGACTGACAACGACGCAAGTTCAAATTCAAGGTAGTTTCCAATATGACTAAGGACTTTCATGCTGATGAAGTGAATCTTTCGAAATGAAACAGCCGGAGATTGCATTACTTCGAAAGAAATGATATAAATAGCAAATATAAAAACACATTTGCTTCTTTGCAGAACATCCTATTGCATTCAGCAAGGTGAAGCACTATTCATTTGAAACGTTTTTTCTCCTTCTATGTTAATTAGAAGAATATTCTCCGTTGAGCACATGCGGAACGCGTATCTATGCATGAGTATCATATCTAAACTACAAAGGCACATAGATCAAGACGTTTTCTCTCTTGCACCACTTGTTAACGTAAACGAAGAGAAGAAATCACTTATGGAAAGTTTTGTTTAGCTCGATGGTGAGATGCCTTTGCTTGCTAATTATTGCATTTGTTGAATGTTAATTATAATTATAAATTGCACTTTTCTCCACTCTAGTTTACTAGCATATTTTCTCGTCGAAAGCGTATGCCGAACGCGACAGAATTAGTTGTCCTATCGTATACACGCATCAAGTTTGTTTCTTTCTTTCTTTTCTCATCTATTCAGTTCATTCTATTGATTTGAATAATACAGTCCCATCTTTCGTGATCGACAAGAATTGTATTTCAATGAAAAGGACATTTTTTCAAACGTGAGTGTCTGTCATCCTCTCGGATGTGCACTGAAAGGTAGTTAATTGAATTTGACATGTTTCTTCCCTCCGACATATTTCGTATTTCTTTCAAATCACCGTTGGTAAGCAAGAGGAGAAAAAGAGAGAACCGTCTGATGTTCTTCAGTATTATTGCGACATAGTCAATAAAGCAAGAAAACAACTGACAGATGTGCGTTACTCACATGCGTTTTCTAAGTAACAAATTTCATTCAATTTGCTTTTGTATCATTCGAAAGTGCGTACGTGTTCCCTCTCTGATCTTTCGATTTTTTTTCATTTTTCTACTTGAGTCCATTCAATTTTCCCATACACTCAACTGAACGCACTTTTCTTATGAATAATTGAAATATTTTACTCCGCTGTTGATTTCTATCGTATGTTATCAGCAGCAAAGAAAACTCCCCGTCTCTTTTCTCCATCTACTGCTTGTATATATAAGATTATAAATATGATCCTGTCAAAGAACATTAACTCTACGATAAACAATGTAACAGAAGATCGTATAAACATAAGAAAAATCCTTTCGATTAGATGTTACCATTGTTGTTCACCACGCTCTTATCGGTCAAAGTTATGTTAGACCAGAAATAATAATCACGACTGATAGAAGAAAAAAAAAGAGCATATAAACAGCCCACACATGAGTTGCGAACTGCGTCATGTATCCGACTAGGAAAGGAAGAAAATCACGCGGAGTTATATTGTCAAAGAGAAAACAAAGCTTCTTTTCACAGTTTAATATATTATTAAACTTCTTCATCTTCTATTTTAGCCTTACTAGTAGATTTCTTTCTTATCACAATGTCTCCTTATTCTTCGGAATCATTCAATCAAACCAGTTCGTATGTGACTTCGACATTAGCCGAACGATTCATGTACAATGTGTCGGAATCACTTCTCAGCAATGATTTGAACGGAATTGATCATGACTTTAGCAATAGTTCACTTGTGCGTTATAAGACACTCTATCGTGAATATCATGGAATAATATCAAGTTTTGTATGCATATTTGGTTTAACCTGTAATCTATTTAATATTATCGTTTTAACACGTCCACTTATGCGTTCATCGACAAATACGATTTTAACGTCTCTAGCATTGTCTGATCTCATCAAAATGTTGTTCGTTTTGCCAGCAGTGATTATTTTCTATTGTTTACAAACTAGTCAACATAAAAGTGAGCCGAACTTTCAATCACGCGCGCAAGTCACATTCTATATGATACAAATGCTTGTAACGTTAACCTTGCATTGTATTAGTACATGGTAAGTCATTTTTGTGAGGAGAAAAACAACTTAAACCATTTTCTCGTATCTACGTAAAAAAAGTGGAATCTTGCGAATAAAATGTTGCAGATGTCTTTCTTTACATTAAACTTACATCAATCAATGATATTTGTTCATGTTATTAAAAAAAAAACCGGCTAGATAACAGGGCACACTTGACATCTCTGAAATTCTAATATAGTCGTGATTTTGCAATATATGATAGTTTGTTTAGGTTGACCGTTTTACTCGCTGGCTTTCGCTTTGTGTTCTTGAGTTGTAAGTCGTTGACGCCGTACGTTTCAACACCACATCGTGCTTTGCTTGGCGTGTGTACGGTGGTCGCCATCTCGACGATTCTTTGTATCCCGTCATATATCGAACATCGGCTTGTTGAACTTATCAATAATGATAC